TTTCATTTTAAGTGGTTTAAGTCAAATTCTACTGTTTAGGATTCATTCAGAGGTTACTGTTCACATTCAACATTCTATTGTGTTCGTATTCAACATCACTCTGAACCCTCCTGAACACAACACACTTTTGGTGGAAGCTGTTTGATGTTCAACCCATGATTGATAACAGTTAGCTTATGGGTTGAACATATATCAGTAACATTTTACAGTTCATTTATTTTTTTGTTATTTTTCTAAAATCAAAAATCCAAAAAGATTTTCCTATTTTAGTGTTTGATTTCTAAAAAAATCCAAAAAGATTTTCTAATTTTTGTGCTTAACAATATTGTCTAACAGTTCATGTCTTATTGTAACAACATGATGCTATGATGCATGCTAAACGAACATATCCATCAAGGGGACATGTATTCGTTCGAACTGATGTATTAGTAATTATCCCTAGAAATATGTTGTTTCATGTTGTCCTCAAGCCTCACAGACTCTATGTGTTTGATGACTTAATGGAACTCTCACTACGAAAGTTTCTTCCTAATCAGGCTGGATTCACATTGGTCGAAGACCTACCTTTCCCTTCTCATATTGAGTAAAGAGATTTCTGCAATGTCTATATATTTCAGAGAGGTATAATGAGATCTTATACCCAATCTCTTTCACCAAAACTTATTTCATGATCACACACTACGTTGCATATCCTCGACATCTCTAGTCAAAACCTATCGGAATATAGATATGAAAAATCTGTGTGTTTATTAATACCGAGTCATTTTTTTGTGATGATGGTGAAACCCAACGAAGCCAACTATCAATGAATTAATGGTGAACATTTCAGTTGAAGATTTTAACGAAACACTTGTTTCACAACCTTTTCGATATTCAAAGTCTCATTTCATTCGTGTTGTGTGATCTTAATAAAATGTTCAACCACCAAGACATTTATGACAAGCAAGATCCAATACTTAATTTTTTTTGGAATGAGATTTTCGTATGAATATCTTTTTGAACTTTTCTTACTTAAAATCATATCCAACCATAAGTTTTCTTGACTACACTGATCATCCAAATAATTTTGCTCAATTGGATCACATTTATGTTAAGTTGTGATATTGTGCAAAATTGAAGCTACCTTCGAAACCAATGAAAAAGAAGCCGTTCGAAGCTCATCAACAAGTATTCGATTGTAATTCACAAGATACCAAAATTTTATGTCACTATATCCACATATTTGAATGCTTCTCTCTTACTCTTTGGTACACATATGCATTGTAATCCTTGAGGTTTTGGGTATTACCAAATCGAAACTTAGATTTTATAAGGACTGGCGTATGATTTTGCTTTCATATCCCAAAAGTGAACGAGTCTTGCCTCCATGCCGAAGGAATGCTCATATCTTGGTGTAGAAATTACAAAGTGTACTTAGTTTTAGTTCGAAAAATGTGACGGTTCTTATCCAGTTGGGAATAACGAAAGATCCAATGGACATGATGCTTCAGGATTTTCACGAGATTCAAGGAAAACATGATGGTCACTTTTATGACGTGAGGCTTTTTACTATGTCGGTTGGCTAACCAATACAATATGTGGTAGTGTATTATTGGATACCAGTTCAAATTCAAAAATACTGTTGATTTTAAAAGGAAGTTGATAATTTCATTATCAAACTTTATGCTCTCAAATCAAATTTCCAAAAACCCCAAACTCTTCATCATTTTCAATTACATCTACCTTCTCTAGAATGGTTGCTCATCATCTCATTGCTGATCCTACAACAACAAATGAAGAGTAAGTATCGCAACTGATGATGAAGATTCAAACCACTAATCTTTGTTTAGTTCCATCGATTGATCAATATACAGAGCCATTACAAATGCTGGTTCAAACCATAAGCAACTCGGTGTTATCAACTGCATTATCTTCTTCATTCCGAGTCCCGATTGAATGACTTTCTCTTGCTGGTTCATGTGACATCCCTAAATTCACGGTCATTTTAAAAATTTTATTTATGATTATTTTAAAATTAGAGTATTCTTTTTGAAGAATAATATTGTGGAATTTGTTCCCAGAAAAACATGATAATAATATTATTAAAACATTTCTGAAGAAATGTATTTTATATTAAAACATTGGGATGTCATTGTCAATACAAAAACATAAGCATAAATAGACCTTGCATTTATTTACAATAGTGATTTACATCTCCTTTAATCTCTCAGAGTAATGTGTCTCCGTATCGATACGTGTGATCCAAATAAACTGAGTGGGTCAGGTTGGGAAACCTAGAGAGTACATAAGGTGTTTAACCTACAATAATATAGTTAATTTTTTCTTGATATATTTCATTTTAAACAATTAACCCGATTACCCATATCCATTTTCTTTATTTATTCTTCCCTAAAGATTTATCCTAATGTTCATCTCCTACATCGTATATACCTCTCATCGCCTTACATCGCATTTCCTTATATGTTTGTTCCTAACGACTTTTCCTAAGGATCGTCATGTACACCGCATACACAATACTGATGTGGGGATTATTCCCCTAATACATGTCCAATAAGGGTTAGAGTATCATCACATGAATACGTAGTTACTACATCTCCTGAACTCGTAATTCATCACCTACAAGTTCTGAGCTTGCCATTTGTTCCACATGACTTTTTTAGATTAGTCACTGGTCACCATCTATACTTTGGTAGATGACTACATCGGAACATTGCAAGTCAAGGTTATGGCAACTCATAACCATCTATTATCTCATATCACCTATTCATCATTGCATGTCTATCATCACCTAGTTATCATCACTTTCTATCATCACCTATCTCTCATCACTCATCCACCCATCTTTACCCAATATATTTATTGGTATAAAAATATGTACACAGTTTAAACCATGTAAAACATATATCGTTCATCTAGCAAAGATATCAAGAACATAGATAATAAGCATATATAACATGTATTAATATTAAATAATTCATATCTATATGTAAGATGAAAGTAACTATACACTCACTTGTTAAAGTGATGACTCAAAATTCTGGCAGCACTTCGCTTCGAACAATTTTCTTTTTCTTCGACGAAACCTAGTATCATTATTACTATATTTTAGTCTAATATTTATTGCGACTAATTATTAGTCTAGATTTATCATTAACTCAAGGTCTACATCATGATCTATCAGGTAAGAATTAGCCAGGTAGGACAGTTGGGAGGCAGGACCATTTTGGCATATAGCTTTTCTGAAATCCAACAACCAAGCCTAACGTGACGATTATAGACACATGTGCCATAAGTAATTCAATTAGTATAACGACTTTGAATAACCGATAAATCTTGTTTATAGGTTCATAATAATGATAATGAACTTAAACATAAGTTATGCTTAAATTAGGGTAAGTATAACTTAATTACAAGGGGGTTTAGCAAGGAACCGGGCTCTGCGAGGATAGAACTTCTGAGCTGAAAGCGCTTCTTCTCGGAGCCTTTTTGCGCTCCGGGACTCACTACTAACTCTTAAGAATGACTAGAGCCTTGAGGCTTTGGGGGACGTTTGGGAGAAGGTGTGAGGAAATGAGGTGATTTGCGCCTCTATTTATAGGCTAGAAATCAAGCAACACAATATGTTACTGAGCCCCAACACATCATGTTGGGGTGCCAAGTGTCACCATCTGGTGGCAAGGTGTGCGGAAGAAGAAGAGTCTCAGATCGCGTCACGTGTCACTCACAGATTACACTAAAAACTAATTATCTTCTAAAGCCCGTAACTTTTGTATACGAGCTCTTTTTTTGATGTTCTTTATATCCACGCATAGGTAGCGACGTGATCTACAACTTTCATTTAGAATCTGTCAGCTAATTTTAAATTTATTTATAAATTTATATTTTAACAGGCTTAGACAGTTAAATTCCGTTAAAATTTCATAAATTTTCCATCAGACGTCCATTTTCTTCTTTCTTTATATCGTTGAGTTCCTATTAACGAGATCTTCAATTCTATTTTAGGTTGTGTTGGCTAAAAATCGATCGATCCATAATTTGATTTCCGGATTTTATATAGCTATGCAAAATCTTAGAAAAATCATAACTTCTTCAAACGAACTTAGATTTGGATGTTCTTTTTATGTACGTTCTTTGTTTAAGAGATACTACGACCTTTGTTTAGATATCTAAGGATAAAAAGTAGTTTATCAAAAATTCACTTGTTACGATTCATGGAGCCGTATCGGTTTTGTCACAAAACTTCGACGGATTATAACTTCTTTGTTTTAATTTGGATTTAAACGTTTTTTATATGTACGGAATCCTTGTGACATATAATATAACTTGGTTAAGATTATGTATTCGACATAATCTTCTATCAAAAAGTCATTTTTAATGCTTATACCTTTAAATTGACTTGCCATACTCTGCGACGTTACAGTTCAACTACCTTCTTCAACAAAAGAACTAAGTTGGTCACGTTTCAGTTGATGAATTCAAAGACGAAGAAGCTTACTAGGAAGCAATTTTCTCAAGTCTCAAAGTTACCCATGTCATGTACCTTGTATGAAGTTTCGACTGATCAGGTGCTTTATATGTTCAATGAAATGGGACATCAACCAATTCTTACTGGAATAGGTCACTTTAACAAGTCCATTTTTCCTTGTATATCGAGTTTTCTGTTTGGCATTGTGTTATGTTGCTTAACAGGAAGAAGCTTTGGGTTTGACAAAGCCAAGCTTCAAGTTTATTCCCTTTTCGCAGGACTGTATTACAATCTGAATGTGGATTATGCTATGCATCTCTGGGAGGAGTTTGGATCTTCAATTACACACACCAATCTTGCAATTGGTGTTTAAAGTGCTAGTTTTTGGAGCCTGATTTTGCAAGATGTTAATCGACAAGAGGATATTTTGGTTCCTTCTGATGTTGAAACTGTTAAGTTTCCGACTATGGCTACCCTAATGGTATTTGTTGATGATCAAGATGTGTTTCCAACTATTGCTCGCATTCCTGATGCAATGCTCAAGACTGTTGATTCTAAAAATCAGATTCTTGTGAAATATTTGGCTTCGATTAACTCTTCTGTACTAACTGGGGTTCTTCCACAAAAAGAGGCAGAAGGTTCTTCTAAAGCTTCTAACGCTCCAAAGAAGAAGAAGCATGTTGGAAAAGCACTAACTATGGAAGAGGAGGTTATGAGAGAAATCATCTCATCGAAATCGGGAATCCTCAAACGAACAAAGAAACTGGACTAGAAGCCTTCTTATTCACCAATCAAATAACCTTTGCAAGAATTTGAAATCGAAAGTACTGAGCCAATGAATGTTGATTCATTAAATACTTTTTCTTCTCAGAAGGGTATAAAGAAGATTCGAAAGCCTCAATTTAATAGGAAATGTGTTTTGTTTCAACAAGTATCTATTCCTGTTTCACCATCATCGATGAAGCTTCAAGCACTTGATATGGCTCAGAAGTTAAAAAAGTAGAAATGAAAGAACTCGGATTCACATGACAACATAACGGTCGAAATTGATCACGACAGTGATAGTGGAAGATCAAACATTCGCACAAAATATTCTATCTTGGATCAACTCAAAGGGATGCTCCACTCAAGTTGAATTTCAAGGCAACAAGGGATCCTGATGTCAATGTAAACGTATCTAATATGATACAAAAATCAAATCGAATGATTAACCATCAACATCCATCCTTTACATGACCATGGAAATACCATCTGGGTTTCACAAAACAAGTCTAATACAAAGGATGTTCGAACTCCATACATCCATATGAACTCATCTGATAAGGACACAAATGTCAACATGGATGAAGGGATGCAAAAACAACGAATCAACTGTCACTTCTACCTTTGAAACTTCCACCATCAACACTTCCATCATCAATACAACTACAATCGAAACTTCCATTTTTGAATCTTCAACCACTTTACCACTAATTTCATCATTTGTTACCATTTTAGTTCCCATTTTGACCATTTCACCAAAATATTCTAATATCATGCATAAACCCATTACAACTCAGTTTTCATCCCAATCCACTGAGGTTGAGAGAATGATTCATGACGAAGAACCTAATGATGATGATATCATGGTGTCATTTACTGATATTCAATTTGGTCCTAGGGAGGAGAATGTTCCTGGTAGCTTAATCATGTCAGGTAAACAGTTCAAGATCCTCAACTGAAAAATTAATTATCTTCTTCAGATACAAGCATATATAGGGGAAAGAACTTTTTGACCGACATCGAGATGGAATATTTGTTGAAAGCACAATAAAATCACTTTTGAAACTTGATTGAGGTCATTGAGCAAAAACAATGAAGAGAGGTTAGCATTTCATTCTAAGAGTTATGACTATGAGATTCAAAAGCTTCATGGTGTTGCAAAGGAACATCATGAACTCTTTGTTGAACAAGTGACTAAGATGAAGGAGCCTGTGGATCTCAAAATCGCTAAACTCAAATCTGAGTTGTCAAAAGAGGTTCAGAAAATGGAGCAAAACTACACCTTGTTGCATGGCCAAGTCGATGTCATTACGACTGCTATTGCTATGTGGTTGAGTTTAATTCTAAGTATACTAATAAGCTTGAAGTCAATTCAAAAAAGGATACTTAGGTGTTCCAAAAGATGGATGAATCATTATCAAGTATCAAGGAGTCTATTTCTAAGGTTGATCTTTCGAATTAATCAACAGTCACTCAAGCGCCTATTTCTCAATTGATTTTGAATATTTAGTCCAATATCAAAACCTAAATTTCTCTAATCCTTGAGTTGGTTCTTCGTCTACCAACTAGTGGTCCACTTGCAGTGCAAGTGTCATAAGGGGGATAGAAAGGAATTAGAGGAGTTGGTTCTTCTAAGGATGCTAATAAAGAGAAAGGAGTTGTAGTTGGGAAAGTAAGCTCTACTCAAATTCCAACTTCACTTCCCATGTATTTGACCACAACTTCCATAACAACAACAACAACAACAACAAAATAAGAGTGTTGACAAAAAGAATCTCAATAAACGAAGGAGTTAGGAGTTCAATTTCAATTTTAATTCCTAACAAGCCAACTTCGAATAATGATCCAAGTGATAAAGGTAAAGCTATTTCTATAGTTTCGACATAAGAAGAGAAGAAGAAGCAACAAGCTTTTGCAATCGAGAAACAAAGGCAAATCAACATTATCTTGAGGTGGAGAGCTAATGAATCACCTGGCTTGAGCAAGGGTGATCCTAACAACCAATGCTGTTATGAAATAATTGAAGATATTGTTTCGATTAGGTTGAATGATTACTTTCGAAAGGTGCCTAAGAAGAACTATGACATTGAAAATTCCAGTTTCAATCAACTGGATTTTACAATCAACCACATGTTATTCACTTTTTCTTAATTCAAGATTGTTGAGAATTTAAATGATAAAAGATAATTTAAAAGACTAGAGATTCGTTTTCATGTAGTCTTGGGAAAAAATGAAGAAGATATTTAGTTGTCAGTGATGATAGTGAAGGTGATGACCATCATTCATGACAAATTGTTCTAAATTCTATTGTAGAACTTCCGTTGTGTTGTCTTAAAAGAAAATAATGTTGCTTGTGAGTTCACAATAGCAGATTTTCCATTAATGAAATTAAATGACTTGATCACGGTCACAAAGATTTTGAGTAATGTGGATGTTTCGAAGATAACAGAGACCAACAAGGAGGATTTCATCATTGGTTTTGCTCATATCAATTTTTTTATAAACAGCTACCATGATTACTTGGCAATCATTGATATTGAGCTTGCATTAGCTATCAAGAACCTTCGAAAGTCCCTAAATCTTTCCTAAGAGGAAAGTTGAACATCAATGATTATGAAGATGGTGAGATAATTCATCAACCTATTGGAGTTGCGTTTCGAGGAAAGAATAATAATGGGCGAATGACAAAGCTTTTTTTCCAAGTGAGTGATCTTGAAAGGTATATAAATTTTCAATATACAAATCTCCTTATTTGAATTAACAACTTCAAGAATAATGAAAGTGAAGACAAGACAGAGATTCGAAAGACCATCTTGTGGTATTTGGAGATTCGGAGTGTACTTCTTCATAATATGAAGTTGATCGCATAATTCAACTTTTCTCACTTAGGGAAGATTGTAGGGGTCGAAACGTAATAGTGAGGGGTCAAAATAGTGTGAGTCTTTAAGGAGTCAAAATCCAAATGATTTCGACACTCTATTTATTTTCAAGGCAATGTTAGTTTTGATGCTAGAATGTTGTGTCCTTGTATTTTTTGTTGAGTTTGTTGTACCCTATAAATCGGGTAAGTACTAGATTAGTGGGTAACATTTTTCGCACTTTTGATTGTAAATACTCTCGATACTTTGTACTCTTTTTTCAGACTTGAATATGAGCTAACCAGATTATATTTAGATATTGTGTTCTTAACAATTTTTCTTGTATCAATTATATTTGTAATCAATCGTAACACACATAATGGAATAATGAGAAAAAATGACACAATCGTGGTGCTTAATGGATGTGTTGGACGAAAGACATGGCACAAACACATCACGTTCCATGGCCATACACGACCTATAATACTGTTTGGTAGAAAAACCTATAAATAGATGTTTTTCTTTAACTTAGAGGGATGTACACTGATATATCAACTCTTGGTCGAAAAGAAACATCAAATGTGTTGTTTTGGGCATAAAAATATTTTACCTTTTTTTAGATGTAGATAAACCTTAATTTTATGGTTTGATTTGTAACGTCCCAAAATTGCAACCCAAAATTTTCATTCTTAAAACATAATGGAACAACTCAAAAACCATTATTTATTAAAGATCATAGTCATACATTTATTTAAAATATCATAAAGACATAATATAGAGTTTAGCAGAAGTCTTAATAACATAATTATCTTTTTGATGGCACTACAGTCACACTGGAGCCTTCCCAAGATCAGAGGAACTGTATGAAAAAGTTTTAAATCAACATCTATAAGCATGAAACTTATTGAGTTCTTCGAAATACCACATACAAAAATATGCATACAATAGATATAAATAATGGCGTTTAGTACCAAGCTACGTCGCCCCCTTAGCCTTTAACATAAAGTTAGTTTGCCCCGTTGGCCTTAAACATAAAATTGGTCTGACCTGAGTATCTTGGAGCTCGGTACAACAATGGACCACCCTCAACTCACAACACGATATATAACAAACGAATAAATAAGCAGATCAACACAACATGCGACTGATTAAACTAGTATACTAGCATAATAACTCACTACAACATAAAAAAGTCCTAACGTACATAGAATGCATATGTAGGTTGGTTTGTAGATGGATCAAATAGCACGTAACAATGTATAACATATTGTTGATTATTAACTATCTGAGCTTAATGTTAATAGGGGTGTTTATTGGTCGATTTGAAACCGTGATACCCGATAAACCGTACATCAATTTGGTTTGGCAGTTTGTATTTTGTTTTACGGTTTGGCTTACGTTTTCAAAATTTTCAAACCGTATAAAACCAGACCGAACCGTAGGATATATATATATATATATATATATATATATATATATATATATATATATATATATATATATATATATATATATATATTTAAAAATCCATTTCATATAAACAAATAATAGTGGGATCATAAAAAAAAACGCAGTTCATTGAGCTTAGCACCATTTTCCAACATTTCATTTAAAACTAAAAAGTTATCATGATTAATAGCTATATCGCTATCAAGCTTGTAGGCTTGCAGACTTCCGCTTTCAAGCTTTATCATTGATATTGTTGGTATTTTTTTTAATTATTCTAACAAGCTCGACGCAAATGAGCTTAAAATGCCTAAACCATGAAACCAAATCATGCCAACCTGTTAGTAGTGGTTCGGTTTTAATTTTAAGAGAAAATGATAAAAATAGCTATTTACACTAATAATATTATAAAAATAGCCAAAAAAATATCCAAATTACAAAAATAGCCAACGATTTCACAGATGGAAATGCCCCATCTGCGAAATCACCTTGCCATTTGCGAAATTGAGAAGCCATTTGCGAAATGCTCTTTGTTTCGGTATATAAGCGTTTTTTTTTCTCCATTTTCCCCCTTCTCTACACAAAAACTCTCTCTATCTTTGGAGTATTTTCGCGATTTTGGTTACTTTTTGAAGAAAATGGAGGATTATGTCAACAATCCGGCGAATATGGTTAGATTTTTACTCTTTAAATGTTGAAGTTTTTTTTGTTATCATTTATTGTATTATTTAGTGTTAAAAAAGGGTAATTTTGTTGTATTTTGATAGTTTTAATATTTCTTTATTATACTTGAAGCTTAAATGGTCTTTTGTTAGTGTTTGTTTGAATGTACAAGTAGAGACTGCGTAGATAATGTTTAGAATTTGTTATTTTTGTTGTTTGTTTAGTTGTTGTATAACCTGAAAACTTGTATATTGTTATCGTATAATTGTTTATATAAAGTGAAAAATAGTTAAATTATAGTATGTGTAAAATAGTCATTTGTATATATATTTGTTTTATAAGTATAGCATTTGTATAAGTTGAAAATTTGTCGTATATATATTGTTAGAAATTGGTTGTGTTTGTCGTATAAGTTGAACAATTGTTGTCGTATAACTTGCAAAATTGTTAATTTGGTTGTCGTTTTATTTGAAAAATTGTTTGTTTATATGATTATAAAATGTTAGTTTATATAATTAGAAATATAAAAATTGTTTATGTATTTATCGTTTAAGTTGAAAAATTGTCGTTTATATATTTGTCGTTTAAGTCGAAAATATGTTTAATAAAATGTTTATATAATTATGTATGATATTGTTTTTTAGTGTAAATATATTTGTTGTATAACTTGGAAAATTGTTTATATATGTGTATGTTATTGTTTTTTATCAGAAATATAAAAATAATTATTAATTAAGAAATAGTATTTGCATTACCAATTGTTTATGTATTGCAGTTCGTAATCATATATTTTAAAAACAAAACATTTTTTAGTTATCTAATTTGTTTTTGTGTTTTTTTTGCAGCATGATTTTAGTTTTATCAATGTGAAAGCGTTTGCGAACTTAAAAGGTTCTGGCGGTAACATATGAGAAGTATTTGAAGTTTTGAATGATGCCAGACGTGCCATTTTCAGAAATACCGTATTTGGTTACTTTATTGATGTCCCTCGTTTACAAGGGGATGCATTGTTATTCCATAAAATGTTCCTTCATCAGATCCGGCCGGACCCTGTTTTATCTCTAGATGGAATAAAACGATTATATTTTCGAGTAGGCAATACGAAAATGGTTTATGGGCCGGAAGAGTTTTGTTTGATAACCGACTTCAATTTTGGGGAGTATCCAAAAAACATTGGGAAAAAAGGGTCGGAAAAATTATTAAGCAGTAAAAAAAGATGTTTATTGCGTGAACGACTATTTCCGGACCATACCAATAGTTCGGTGAAAATCTGCGACCTTAAACGTTTAATTTTAAATCGAACATTCGTAGCACTTGACGACGTTGATGCAGTTAGAGTATGTTTGATATACATTCTGTGTGAAGGTTTTTTGGGTAAAGAAGTTAATGATCGGGTGCCACAAGATTGGTTTTTTTTGGCTGAGAATTTGGATCTCTGGAACAGGTATATCTTGTTTACGTTAAAAGTTATATTTTATTAAAGTTATAATTTATATAAAAACTAATATTGTTTTTTTGTTTTGTACTTT